CCCCCCAGCCAAGTAGTGAATAGGCAATCTTCCCTAGAGTTTAGCGTTCATTGTTTAAATACCAGGCGGCGTTCTCACATATGACGCATGCGTCTGAAAATTACTGAGGTGCTTTTAAAAAAATCGTATTAAACACTCGTTTCGTGCCTCCCCCTCTCATATTTTATTTCAGAGAACGAGAAACAGTACAACAAATTACAAAACTATTTATTTTACACCAAAAATAACATCTTAAATGAAAAAGAATATTAATCTAGTTCATGCATCATAGTAGACAACACAGGATAGGACTACAGCACAATTCAGAACAAAAAAACAGCTCTGAGACAAGGCTTAATGAGGAATATGGATCCACACGCAACCACCAGTAACATCGTGCTCGTTTGAACATTCCATTTCAGGGTCATGAGAGAAAAAACAGAGTAACTCGGCATACAACAGCTCCGGATGACAGCCCAGAGCGCACGTCTCGCAAGGTTTGCTTAGAACACACTCAGACTCTGATGGTGTAAACACTTGAATGTGCAGCAAGGGATTCGCCGTCAAGGCCGCCCTGACTGGGTCGCTGTGCAGCCACGCGTGGCCACATCTAATCTCGGGGCAGGGGCGCAGCACGAGGGTGCGCAGGGCCGGGGCCGCGGCAGGGCTGATGGCGGCCAGCACAGCTTCGGGAGGGCCGTCCAGCCTCAGGTACCGCAGGGCCGGCAGCTGCGGCAGCGCGCCGAGGAGCTGCTGGTGGTGGCAATCAACGGCGTCCTCGACGTTCGCGTTATAGAGGGTCAGGTCCTGCACGCGAGACTTCCCGGACGAGGCTAGTGCCAGTGCCAGGTTCACGCCGACGACGCCTGGGACGTCGTCAGAGTCTGCCTTTTCGCAGTTCAGGTACACATCGCGCAGCCGGGTGGCGCGCCGGAAGAACTCTGCTGCCGCCAAGAGGACCGCTTGCGTGGCCGACGTCAACTCGAAGGACACATCCCGCAGAGAGGCGCAAGCTGCCAGAGCATCCATACCGGGGAGGAGGGGTGAGTGCAACTCCCTCAAGTTGGGCATGTGGGCCATCAGGGGCGCAAGCGAGGCTCCGAACGAAGTGTCGACGTTCCAGACGTCGAGGTAAACCACCTGCAGGGTGGCGCTGTGTCCAGTTAGTATGCAACTGCAGAAAGGTTCGTACGCAAGGTTTGGGCTGCCACGAAATATTTCTAGGGACGCAGTTGACACGGGGCGGGGGTGGCGGACAACGGGACCCATCAGTGATCGTTCAATCCAGTCCATTGTCGGAAGTTCCAGCTTTTTCAGGCCAGCCGTCGACGCCAGTGCCCCCAGTAGGACAGTCAGCCCAGAGTAAGACGCATACTGTATGTTGACACTAACTCGCCTCAGCCGGCCGAGCGCCTCCTGGTTGCGGATGACGAAGGCTGCGTGCGGGGAGCCGGCCCTGTTCACGCGCAGTTCGAGGTCGGCCACGGCGCACTTGGTCGTGTAGGGCACGTGGCACCTCTCCAACGGCAGCACGAGGGCCATCTTCCTGAGGCACGGCGCCAGGCGTAGCACGGTGCAGGTCCAGGGGTTCTTCTCCTTGAGCGTCCGGAGCCGCCACACGTCCCGATGCAGGGCGAGGTCCCGGAGCCGCTTGCACACGAGGCGGAGGGCGAACAGGTCCGGCACGGCCAGGTGCTGCATCACCTCCACCAGCACGTCGTCCGGCAGCTGGTCCATGCTCTGTTGGGACATGATAGGGTGGGTAAATATGAAAGATTGCAATGTGGTTACAGTGTTTCCAAGGCGCACACCACGTCGCCGCGACGCGCCCCTCCACGACGACGCCGCGTGCTATACCTCGCGAAGGGCGCAGCGACGGAGCCACGCCGCGGGCCGCGCGTCGTGTAGGCTTGCTCACGCAGATCACACCTCCGCTCCCTCAATGTTTTTAGGTGGCCCTTATGGCCAGTGCGTAGGCAACCCAGCACACCGTCCGTTGCGTTGTGCGACACTAGAGCTGCGTCCAGACAAAAGGGTCGCTTTGGTTGCTTGGACTCAGAGATCTCTGAGTCGGCGCAGAGGCCGCGTTTTGGATCTCTGCGCAGACTCCACAGCGACCCAAACAACCCAAGCGACCCTCTTGTCTGGACGCAGCTCCAGACACACCTTTAGGCGTGCCGGCGTGTTGCCCGTGGCCTCAAACGGCAAAGCGTAGTTAAATCGGCAGCTTCACATTTCACAGGGCCCGTGCATATGCTAAGCCACGACGTCACGGTCACGCGTGACAAGACTTTAGTGAATGTACATTGTTCCATAAAAGGTTTCGGTCCGCATTTCTTACTCGTACATTACCGCATTGTAGCACTACAGCATTTTCCTCTTTTTTTCAAAACTCGATCGGACGCCAGCCACGGGTACGGTACGTTATAAACTGCTTACTGTTGACCAGCTCACCTCAATAATGATTAAGAAGTCAGAGTTGACTTTTCAAGCCCAACTTCTAGCCCAAGATCGGCGAAGATGCCGTTTCAGAATGTTGGAGTAGTTAAGCGCCGCAGAAACAAGCTGCCGTGTCGATGTCGACCGGCGCGGCGGCTGGACGCTGAGTGAGCTGAGCTGTCTGCTGCCGCGACGGCACGCCGCAACGAACAACACTACTGCAGCACACTGCAGCCGCAGCAGACAACTGCTGCCGCACCGCCCTCCGCCTCGATCACAGTGAGGTTTGAGTTAGTTATTTCTTATTTTCATTTACTGTTTCGCGAGTTAGACTATTTCGCTCAACGAAAAGTTAAGTCGCGGCGATAACGTTTCGCAAAGAGAGTCTAGGAGTGACTGTGTTCTCCGTTTGTCCACGACAAAGGCACGGTGGTAAAGGTTATATTGTGACAGGCCGTCCGATAACGATGAGCGGCATGAACGAGCAGGTTGACACATTTTGATTCCCTTATCGCGCCGTTATGCGGTCTTAGACTTGGGCAGTACCTTCGGGCCAACCACGTGACGCATTTTGCCCCCCCCCCCCCCCCTTGTAGTGCTCCGCGGTGTTTTCTTGACACCCCCCTTTTCACGTGGTATTTTGCCTGTTTGTTATTTCACTATTTCGGTCTAAGTAGAGCATTTTAACAACAAGAGCATTTTTGCTAATGTTGAAACCTAGATTTTGTGGTGACTTTGCGATTGAGCACCGACAGATTTCAATGTTTTATCACGCAAAAAACGGTTTTTTCTTTATTTTATTTTTCTCCAAAAATTTGCTCATTTTAGCAAGTAAGCAGTGGGGTGTTCCAATGGAGCGAGGAGCGGTAGTAAGAACAACAAAAATGGCAAGCAGAAGCGAGAGGGGGAGGGGAAGAGAGTGACCTAGGCTGGTCTGCCTATGCATCGCGTGCTGGCCCGGGCTTTGCACGATATGAGAGACCGATGCGTCTTGAGACTGAGCCTGAGCCTGGCCGGACTCGAAGGGTGCTAGGCCCACACGGAAGGGGCGTCGTCAGGCGTCCGGTAGCAGTCAGTGGTCTCATATCAGGCCGAAGTCTCATGATTTATCAGTCTCAACTCCAGCCTCCAGACAAGGCTCATGTCGTGCAAGCCCTGGCCCGTCGCCCGTCGAGTTCAAAAGGGGCTTTTCTGTGTTTGTCCAAGACTCCACTCTGACCTCAGAGGGGAAGCCCCCCCCACTTTTCCCCCGCTCGTTGCCGACAAGCGGAGCGTCTCGGGCTGGCGGAAATACCCAGGCCCCGTGTCTGGTGGTGCCTCAGGCCAGGGCCTTCTGCTTCAGTCTAGGTCTTGACTTGAGTCTTGGTCCCAGTCCCAGTCTCTCAGTCCAGTCGGTCTTCTATAGCGGTCCAGCTGCAGCGGGTTGCAGGCCGAGTCGCGGCGGTCCTGTCAGCACCTACGTGGCCCAGCCCGCCTCCGAGAACTCTTTGGGTGAAGGTAAGGTCAGTCGACTGAGTAGCGTCTATGCGCCAGAACCCGGTATTGCAACAGTTTTATTCGATACATCGAGGGTGTCGATTCCATTGAAGTAGCCACAAAGGTCGCATTGCAGCTAAATAGATGTACCGCCTGTATCAGCGTAGGCATCTTCGTGTTTCGGGAACCTCGTTCTAGGCTGATGTTCCCCCATCGTGTGCTTGCAGATCATGGAGTCGCTACCGGACGAGGTGCTGGTGATGGTGATGCGGCACGTGGCCGTGACGGACCTGTTCTCCCTCCGCCTGGTGTGCAAGAGGTTCGCGGGCCTAGCGCTGCACCCGGACGCGTGGCGGTACCAGCGGCTCAACGGCAACTCGCCGCGGTCGCGGCCGGACGCGGTGCTGCGCATCGCGCCTTGCCTGGCCGAGCTGACCGTAACGCTGCCGGCGAGGGACCGGCCGTCGTACCACTGGACCACGTGCGCCGTGGAGAGCCTGGTGCTGAACGACTACACCCGCAGCAGCGCGGCCTATGGCGGGCACCGCGCCTCTCAGGTGATCCGCAGGCAGGCGGAGCTCGGCCGCCTCAGGCGCCTCTCGGTCAACTTTCAGTACTTTGTGTCGTTGCAGTCCTGGCAGACGGTAGGGTCAACGTCTGGTTTGAAAAAGCTGGAAGTTCGCGGGTTCTCTCCACGAATAACTGGCGACCCAGGCATGCAGGCGCCGCCTTCGTCCCTCGAGGTCTTCACGTGCGGCTCAGGTGGCTCGCGCGAGCAAACGACGTTCTTTATTGACTTCATCCTGGCCGCGCACGCCGCCACCCTCCGTGAGGTCAATCTCCGCTCAGTCTTCATTCCAGCCCCGGCGTCGACGGCACCCCTGCTGGCGGCCATTAAGGGCCTCCAGAAACTGCAAAGCACCCTGCTTCCCGGGCTGGAGGCCGTGGCGGCTTGCGAGTCGCTGAGGAGGCTCCACTTAGTCGTGAGCAGGCACTGCCATGAAAGCGCGCCGGCCGCCGAGCTACTGCGGCGCGCCTTGCACCTCCATGAGGTGGGGTTGGTTTTCTACCCGGGGGGCATCCCGGACGTGGAGGTGGACGTTGCCCTGGACCTCCTCGGGGCGCTCTCGTCGGTGGGCTCCCGCGTGGAGGTGATCGCTCTCTACCTTAGCAGTCGGTCCCTGCCGGACGAGCACTTCCATCTGCTGCAGCCGCTGCTGGCCGCGCTGCCCTCGCTGCGGCACCTGCGCCGCCTGGTCGTGAGCAACGTGCCGGACGACCTGCTCCTCGCCATCAACCCCGAAGTCGCGCCGGCGCTGAGGACGCTCGCCACGGACCTGACGGTGGCGACCTGCGCCCACGCCTGGATCCACAGGGACTCGGTGAGGACCGTCATGTGGCTGAACCCTCTGCTTCACGTGGAGGTGACATCATTCCTGGTGGTCTGCGGCGACCTGGACGCCTGCGAGGTCTGCCTCCTGGACTACTACTCCGTGCTGAGCGAGGGTTGTCGGCGCCGGGAGCAGCCTAAGAACAACCCTCTCTCTATTGGGCTCTACTCCCATGACCCTGGCGACACATGTGCGACGGTCCACAAAGCCGCTGGCTTCGTGTGGATTAGTGTGCCCGCGCTGCGTCAGCTGCAGCACTTGCACGTGCGTCACGCGTCGGACGCGCTCCTCCTGGCCATCACCCCCGACGTCGCCCCGCTGCTGAGGACGCTCACCACTGAGCTGCCGAGGGACACCTGCGCCCACGCCTGGATCCACAGGGACCCGGTCAAGAGCGCCATGTGGCTCAACCCTTTGCTTCATATCGAGGTGAAGTCGT